ATGAATCTTTTTTTTTCTTCATTCTTCTTTGTTCTGGATAAGGAGAGACCCATCGTTGCATCTAGATGGCTGCTTGCAAGCCTTTAGTAAACCTAATCACTTCTGGCATCTAAAAAGCACCAAATGAATACAGAGACACACACAGGGGGAAAAGGAAGACAGACAATGAAGTCAGATGTACAGGCATACCTCAGAGGTATTTCAGATTCAATTCCAGACTACTACAATAAAGCAAATATCGCAATAAAGCAAGTCTCATGACTTTTTTGGTTTCCTAGTGCATACAAAAGTTATGTTTATACTATACTGCAGTCTATTAAGTGTGGAATACCATTACAAAAAAGTTTGAAACATTGTGAGAATTACCAAAATGTAATTCCTGAATGCTGAAAAAATACATTTCTGTTCTTTAAAGCCACTTACTTTAAATTTCTGGTGCAGCAGCCTACAGGTGTGCTGATTCAGCAAAATATATAGAGAAGGATAGATGAAGCAAGCAGGGCAAAAATGTTAACAATCGCTGACTGTAGTTGGTAGTAGAGTTTTGAACTGGTTCATTCTGGTTGGACCCCTTGCTGAGAATTTGCATTTCCAGCCCAGATATACTGAATCAGAATCTACATTTTTACAAGATCCTGTTTGTTTACTTCAGCTTCTGGTACCTCCCAAGTTTCTGGGCTTGTAGATACATCCATCTCCATTGTCTGTCTTCCACCTTCTCCTGTGTGTGCCCCACTATCTATTCTGCACACAGAAGAATCACCTGGGGATCTTGTTAAAATGTAGATTCTGATTCAGTATATCCTGGGGTGAAATGCAAGTTCTCAGGAGGGGGTCAAACTAGAATACACTGGTTCATAAACCCTGGTTGGTAGGTAGATTAGATAGATAGATAGACAGATAGATAGATAATGTGTGTGTGTGTTTATTTTTTTACCTTTCTGTATCTTTGAAATTTTTCATAGTGAGTTTAAGTAAAAATTCATTTAAAAAGAACAAGAACAAATATGCCGTGATTTTAACATAAAACTATGTAAACACAGTGTTTCCTGTTGATTGTCAACGCCAATCAATTGAGAATGGCTTCCTGGAATGCTATACTGTTTTTAGAAGGAACACAAGGCTCTATTCAGCCTCAATCAGACAAAGTTCTGTGACTGATTAGCAATGTCTGCCATGGATATGGGATTAGAAAGTGGTGTCTCACATGCTACACATTTGCCATTGTGTTCTAAATCATAGTCCTTCAGCTCTGCCTACTATGTAATCATCCATGGGAGAGAAGGGGAAAAGAATTGGAAGAATTTCTCAAGATTTAGAGAATGCCTATTTTTTGTTCAGACTGGGCTGGAAATACATGCCTAGAAGTCTATGGCTAGACTTCAGCTATCACAAGATAAGAATGCTGTGTTCTGAAAGCTCATCTGTTGTTATACTTGGAGCTATTTCTTTCTCCTGCGTTGCCTAGCTTTCTAAGTAATGTTTCTTCTGAAAAGGTCTCACCTGCCTTTGCCGAGGAATGAAGATAAGGTACTCTGAAGGTACTCTGTCCATGTGGGAGTGGACTGAAGGAAGCAGCAGCCAAGAACTCCCAGCTGGAGAGGCTGACAGAAGCTAGCCAAGTATGCGAGATGATTCCCCGACAGTAAAGCAGCAGCTATGGCTACTGCCCTCTTTCCCTGGGGCTGGGCCTTGTCAGGGACCAGGAGGAAATTGTAACTGAGCAA